CATTGCGCATGCTCAGTTGTTTTGTCCTTTTGTGAGTGTGTTGTTGTGTTGTTTTTTGTTTTGATTCAATTTGTTCATACCTTGTGGGTTGAGCTATGTGCATGGGAATTTTGGTTAATTTTCGTTGGGGGAGTTTTGAGTTTTGCTGTCCCGTTGGACGCCCCTTACAGATTTATATATATAGATTTATATATATAAAATGCTCTGTGCATAAAAAAATAAAAGGAAGGAAAAGAACCAATGAACGAAATCACACCAAATTTGGCAACAAAACGTCTCACAACACAAGGAGTAACCATCACTCAAAAATCACCCTATGATTCTAAAAGAAAACATGGGAGGAGAAAGTGGGAGGAGAATGTCTCCCATGTGATGGGAAGGCCAAAGGATAATTTGAAAGAAAAGTTGAATGAAGGGAAACAGGTGATGGGGGTAAGAAAATCATTTGTTTAATTTCCAAACAAGGCATTGCGAAACTTAAGCCAAAAACGATGATCCCCGATGCTTTACTTATTGCGTGGGATGAAGTCCTTAGTACAGAAATAGCACTGACATGGCAGCCACCGTATGCCGGGGTCCTGAAACATCTAGTGATATTTCAAGTGACACAGAAGGGCAACATCCCAATCTGTTCAGTAACTTCTCCAGGCAGCACAGTAAGTGAAGCGATCCATCTTCCAAACTTCACACTTCATCACCAGGAGATGTTTTAGCATGTGTCCGGATAGCGATGGATGCTGTAGGTTTCGCATATGATAAAGATGCTGTTGGAGACGAGCCTCGTCTTTATGGATGTCCCTGTTTAAAAGTTCGGCTGAAATAAATTTGGGCAATTGGATCGCGAAAATGTCTTATGGCCCTGTTCATACCTGGTAGAAGATGACATCTGAGGAACTCTAAAGACTTCCAGAGATGGCCTTGTTCTGTCGGCAAGTCTTCGTTCACTGACAGAGAGGCAAATTTGTCAAGTGCATTTCCAGGGACGTACTCTTTTTCTTACCTTCCACAAGGTGCCATTTCCATGCAGACTTTTTCCTTAATGGAGAAACATTTAAGTTGGAGAGTAAATGTATTGGAAGTGTACACTGTCTAGTGGTAGGCGCAGCTTGCATTGACCCATACACTAATTTTGGAAGATTTGGAAAAGCAAACCACTGCATTTTCAGGCAGTTCATGCAGTTTTGGTTCAGTTTCAACCACTCCTAAATTGCCCTTCCAAATCTATATTTAAAAAATATATAATGTTCGTTTGTGGGGTTAACAGAACTCAAAAACCACTGTACGAATTGACACCAAATTTGGACACAAGACACTTAACAACCCAATGTATGTGCTTCACTCAAAAAAATTGATTTTGACATTTGGAAGTTGTAGTTGCTGGGATTTATAGTTCATCTACAATCAAAGAGCATTCTGAACCCCACCAACGATGGAATTGAACCAAACTTGGCACACAGTTCTCCCATGACCAACAGAAAATACTGGAAGGGTTTGGTGGGCATTGACCTTGAGTTTTGGAGTTGTAGTTCACCTACATCCAGAGAGCACTGTGGACTCAAGCAATGATAGTTCTGGACCAAACATGGCACGAATACCCAATATGCCCAGATGTGAACACTGGTGGAGTTTGGGGGAAATAGACCATGACATTTGAAAGTTGTAGTTGCTGGGATTTATAGTTAACCTACAATCAGAGAGCACTCTGAACCCAGCCCACAATGGATCTTCAGACAAATTGGCACACTACCTACATGACCAACAGTGAATACTGGTGGCATTGGGGAGGGGTGTTTTTGAATTTTGGGAGTTGTAGTTCACCAACAGCAAAAACGAAGAGAAGGACAGGCAGAGAGGTCTTCAGCCTTCTCTGCCAAAGGGGTTCCTAAGACCATCAGATATATGTGTTTTCTGATGGTCTTTGATGACCCCTCTGAAACCCCTTGCGACCCCCCCCACCCCCAGGTCAGAAACACTTCAAGGTCAATTATTATTATTATTATTTACTTTGCTTATATACCGCTGTTCTCAGCCCGGGGGCGACTCACAGCGGTGTACAACATAGAAAGAACAAGGTTCAAAATTCAAGACACAATATAAAATAATCCACAATCCAGCATTAAACAAAAAACATCATCATCAAAAAACATCATCATTACTACGAAAGCCATTCCGCGTCGTCTCATCGTCCAAACCACAATCCAGTATCATTTTCCGTTGTTCCATTCCTATAGTCATTACCAATTATTGCACTTCTTGTTCGAACGCCTGCTTGAACAACCAAGTCTTCCTGCGGAATATCATCAGGGAAGGAGCCAGTCTGATGTCCACGGGAAGGGTGTTCCACAGCCGAGGAGCCACCACCGAGAAGGCCCTATCTCTCGTCCCCGCCAGCCGTGCTTGTGAAGCAGGCGGGATCGAGAGCAGGGCCTCCCCGGAAGATCTCAAAGTCCTGGTGGGCTCGTAGGTCGAGATGCGGTCGGATAGGTATCTTGGGCCGGAACCGTTTAGGGCTTTATAGGCCAACGCCAGCACCTTGAATTGAGCCCGGTAGCAAATCGGCAGCCAGTGGAGCTGGTACAACAAGGGGGTTGTATGCTCCCTGCGTCCCGCTCCTGTTAGTATCATGGCTGCCACATTGGACCAATTGAAGCTTCCGGGCCATCTTCAAAGGCAACCCCACGTAGAGAGCGTTGCAGTAGTCTAAACGGGATGTAACCAGAGCGTGGACTACCGTGGCCAAGTCAGACTTCCCAAGGTACGGGCGCAGCTGGCGCACGAGCCTAAGCTGTGCAAATGCTCCCCTGGTCACCGCTGAAACCTGGGGATCCAGGCTCAGCGATGAATCCAGGATCACACCCAAGCTGCGAACCTGCGCCTTCAAGGGGAGTGCGACCCCATCCAGCACAGGCTGTAACCCTATACCCTGTTCGGCCTTGCGACTGACCAGGAGTACCTCTGTCTTGTCTGGATTCAATTTCAATTTGTTCGCCCTCATCCAGACCGTTACAGCGGCCAGGCACCAGTTCAGGACCTCGACAGCCTCCTTAGTAGCAGGTGGAAAGGAGTGACAGAGTTGGACATCATCTGCGTACAGATGACACCGCACCCCGAAACTCCGGATGATCTCACCCAGTGGCTTCATGTAGATGTTAAACAACATGGGAGACAGTATTGAACCCTGAGGAACCCCACAAGACAAAGGTTGTGGGGTTGAACAGGTGTCCCCCAATAACACCTTCTGGGAGCGGCCCTCCAGGAATGACCGGAGCCACCGTAAAACAGTGCCCCCGAGACCCATCCCCGCAAGGCGTTCCAGAAGGATACCGTGGTCGACGGTATCGAAGGCCGGTGAGAGGTCCAGCAGCACCAACAGCTGAAGCTGGGAAAATAGCAAAGGCCAGCTCTAGTTTGTCGAGAAGCTTTCAGCACTCCATGATTATTGGCTAGGCAGCGCCAATCCTCTACGGAGTGAGAGCTGCAGTCCTCGTAAAAGGTATTGAACAGCTAGCGGGATTTACAGGCAGGTCAAGGAGCCTTCACTCGTAAATGTCCTTCCCTTCTTGCTGATCATAACTCTCCAATCTCTCTCTCTCATTTCGGTGGAAGGAGATTCACCTTTTGCCTCGCCTCCTAAGAAGATGAAAGAAGGGAGAAAGGAGGCTGGGGAGGAATGCAGACATGCCAAGAAGAGAAAGTGAAGGAGGAAGGTGAGGAGTCTCCCCAAAGATGCTTCCCAAACATTTTCAACACAAAGGTGCCATTTTGGGGGAAGTCTTGGTTGGAATCCATCCCAAACCTACAATTTCTTCTAGTATTCAAAGTCCCAGAAATTTTGTGGAGGAATTATTATGTGGAAGAAAACACATAGTGGATTTTGTGTTTTCTCAATCATGCTTTTTGTTTTGGAAATTTCTTTACTCTGAGCAGGGTCACACCATATACTAGGGGTATTTTTAAGTAAGGTCCGTTTGAACATAAGTACACAACGAAAGTTTATTTCAAAAAAGTAAATTTATTTTCAGGAAGTACATACTTCACTCTATTTTTCGACATCGTTGCCAAGTTTGTTCAAACACTTATCATACCTCTGAACCAATTTTAAAATACCCTCTTCATAAAAACTTTCCGCCTGCTCCGATAACCAAGAGTTCACTGTAATCAAAGAAGGGCGACCAGAGTGGTCCTCATCATGGACGTTGTCACGGCCATCTTTGAATTGTCGTACCCACTTACGCACTTTGCTTTCACTCATAACAGTATCACCATACACTTCACAACCACGTCCACCTCTCCCTTCTGCATGACTGACAGCTTGCCAGGAAGGGAAGGAAAGGTGAGGGATTTTAAAAGTGTTAGTTTTACTTATAAGGAGTTAGTTAGCTCCTTGGAAGTCGCTGGGGGCATGGCCTCCAAGGAGGGCTGTGCTTGGCCACACCCACCTCTCCCTTCTGCATGACTGACAGTTTGCCAGGGAAGAGAAGGAAAGGTGAGAGAAGCTCGCCGCAAGGGAAGGAAGGGAAACTGCGAGATTTTAATGTTTCTGGAGGGAGGGAGGAGCACCTTCCATTAATGAAATAAAGGAAGGGATTCGTATTTCCTGGTATTTCCGATCTTTTTTTAAAGGAAAATTTGGAAATAATTTCAAAATCGAGCCACCAACGCCCCCTATATATGAAACAAGTTTAGAACCAGTTTTTTTCTTGATCAACCAAGCCTACTATCTATTAGGCTTGGGTAACCACAGAAAAATTTGGTTCTAAACTCGTTTTGTTTTTAGGGGGCCCTTGCGTTTCGTTTTTTTTAAGAATTCCGAAATTTTCCTTTAAAAAAGTTCGAAATATACGAAATTTCGTAAAATTACGAATCGATTCGTTAATGGCGGACGCGATTGCGCAATATGCTAAAAAACCCTCCAAATGGGACAGGGGGAACTTCTGAAGCTTCCCTCTCCCTCTGTTGTTGACTGTTGGTGTGATAAAACAAACAACAACTATATTAATAATATATTGATATTGATATAATGTTATTGATAATAATATTATATTATTATATTATATTATATTATATTGTATTAATAATTATTATATTATTATTATTATATTATATATTATTATATTTTTATATATATTATAATATTATTATTATATTATATATTATATTATTATATTTTATATTATTATAATTATTATATTATATTATATATATTATATTATATTATTATATTAATATATTAATATAATATAATATAATTAATATATAATAATATATTATTTAATATATTATTATATATTATATTAATATTAATATTATATATATAATATAATATATATAATAATATAAATAATATAAATATTAATAATATAATATATTATAAATAATATAATAATATTATATTATATTATATTATTATATTTATATATTATATTATAAATATTATATATAATAGAATAATATAATATAATATAATATAATATATATAATATATATATATAATATATAATAATATATATATATATATAATATAAATAATATAATATAATAATATTATAATATAATATAATATATATATAATATAATAATAATAAATATAATAATATTATAATATATATATTATATAATATAATAATCAATAATATAATATTACATCTTATTCTTACTTATAATCTTCTATTCTCCTTGTTATTTTCTCTTATTACTTCTCTTCTATTCTATGTCGCACTTGTTTCTTACTATTCTCTTCTATTTTTATTTCCTGTACGCTGTGCTGGACGGGCCTGCTGTGGCTGTCTGGATGAGGAACAAGCTGAAGATCAATCCCGACAAGACAGAGGTCCTCGATCGTAAACCGGATCGGGGTATAGGGTGGCAACCTGTGTTGGACGGGGTTACACTCCCCCTGAAGTCACAGGTCTGCAGTTTGGGCGTCCTCCTCGACTCATCACTTACGCTTGAGGCTCAGGCATCGGCGGTGTCCGGGAGGGCTTTTGCACAGCTAAGACTTGTGCGCCAGCTGCAACCGTACCTCACAAAGGTTGATTTGGCCGGGGTGGTCCAAGCCTTGGTCACCTCCATATTGGATTACTGTAATGCGCTCTATGTGCGGCTGCCCTTGAAAACGGCTCGGAAATTCCAAATGGTTCAACGGGCAGCGGCCAGGATGTTAACTGGCGCTCCCTACAGAGAGAGGTCAACCCTCCTGTTTAAGGAGCTCCACTGGCTGCCGTTTATTTTCCAAGCCCAATTTAAGGTGCAGGTGCTTACCTACAAAGCCCTGAACGGTTTGGGACCTGCCTACCTGCGTGACCGCATCTCCGTTTATGAACCCACGCATTCCCTTCGTTCATCCGGAGAGGCCCTGCTCGCGATCCCACCTGCGTCACAGGTGCGTTTGGTGGGGACGAGGGACGGGGCCTTTCCTGTGGTAGCCCCCCGACTTTGGAACACCCTCCCCAAGGACATCAGACAAGCCCCTACACTGGCAGTCTTTAGGAAGAGCTTGAAGACCTGGCTGTTCCGCGTGCCTTTCCAGAATAGGATAACCCAGCACTTTGTCCGAGAAGCACTTTACTAGAGTTTAAGACTCTCTGCACATGGCACTTGCCCAGATTTCCAATACACCTCCTGTCACACCCAGCACTTTTTAACCTGTACCCATCATTGGCCCGGCCATGGTTTTTATTGTGTAATAGTGTAATGTTTTGTTATTGCTTATGTTTTTAATTTGCTTTCTTTTGTATTATTGTTGTTTACTGCTGTTGTGTTGAGGCCTTGGCCTTTGTAAGCCGCATCGAGTCCTTCGGGAGATGCTAGCGGGGTACAAATAAAGTTTAATAATAATAATAATAATAATAATTAAAATTTTGGGCAAGAAGGATGCCAGGAGAAAGAGGAGGGAGGGGGGAATGTGGGATTTGCCAGCTGGAAGGAAGGAAGGAAGGAAGGAAAGGAAGGAAGGAAGGAAGCCCAGTGCAGCCCAGAGTGAGGCAAGAAGCATGAGGAAAGAAAAGGGAAGCAGCAGAGCAAAGGGACCGGAAGTGGGGTCAATGCGAGATTGTAAAACTTGCACCAGACATACGAAAATAATTACGAAATAATTACGAAATAATTACGAAAATTGGAAAAATTGTTTCGATTCTTAATTACTCCTCACACTATTCCTGCATGGCTCAATATTGGATCGTAAGCTAATTTAAATACGAATTAATAACGAATAATGAAATTAACGAACTGGATCGCCCAAGCCTACTATCTATCTATCTGTATATTTTTTTTGTTGGTGGTCTAAAATTAGTAGGCATCTTAGAATCAAAGAAATATGGTACTTGAACATATTTACATGCCAATTGTTTCCAATTGTGATTCAAGCCCTAGACTTGAGTCCTTCCATTTCCATGCTGCATTCTATTTACTAGCATAGGTCTTTCGAGCAAAACAGGAACACATAAGCTGAATGTTTTGCAAGCCTAGGGGTGCAGGGGTTTCTAGTGCACCCGTTGCTCTTAAAACAGGGGAGGAGAATAACATCTGAACAGGTCAGACTTGCCGAGGGAAATAACTGGATTTCCCGTTTCCTCTTCTTCTGTTGCTTCAGGGGAACAAAGCGGGAGATGGGGGGAAAAAACCAACAATACATATCTTCAGCCGGTGAAAATATAATAACAGGGTGGCAAAGCTCCTTCATCTCCAAAGCCAACCTGGCGTTGCAGAATTCTCATAAGGCTGAAAGTTGATAAAGAGAGAAAGGCCAGGCTTGCAAAAACAGAGATTAATTTGGGAGGTGCATCAAAGGCGGAGTTGGTTGGGTTCGGATGTGTTCACATTTCCTAACGGTTGGAGAAGTTGACAAAACGCACTTCTCTGAATCCCAAGGGCTCACGGGACTCTCATAGTCCCCCTCCTTTCCTAACCACACATTCTGTCTTTCGGTAAAAGAACAACAACAAAAGAACTGGATGGAAGATCAAGAGGAGGAGGAGAAGGAGGAGGATTTATTTTTATTTATCGTGTCAGGCAACCAAACAGTTGTATTACATTTTTGACAGTACAAACAAACAAACATACAAAAGACACAGAGTTTGCAAGCTTGGTAGTTGATTAAATGTCCTTTGACCAGTATCTGGCCACTTGGAGTGCTTTCTTTGTCAATTTGTCAATTTTTCCCAGGAACCAGGCATGTAGCCGGGGGGGGGGGGGGGGGGGGGGGGGGTGGGGGGGCTTCAGCCCCCCCCCCCCAAATTCTCATGGTGGTCCGCAAGAAAGCCTTACTGGTACATTATTTAAACTGTTATGTTTATTCATATCATGATCTGATCACCATGCTCAATATATCCCATATGCATGGGGGTATTGGGGTAATGATACAAAAGGTTTGCTAGGGTAGACCCTCTTTCACTCAGACTCAGCCCCCCCCGAAACTCAGCCCCCCCCGAAACCCCCCCTGAAAAAAATTTAGCCCCCCCGAAACGAAATCCTGGCTATGGGCCTGGCCCCCAGCACTCTTCATCCATGAGAGAGCCTTCTTTCGCCAGTTTTCTCTTCTGCTCTGGATTGTGTTTTTACAGCATTCCCTCTTTGTCTTTTGGGATTGGCCAAAACTAACAAAATGAAGTTCAACAGCGACAAATGCAAGA